TATTATTTCTAAAAATACATTAAAAAAAATTGACGGTATTTGGGGCCGCGGCACTTTTTTTTTATCATTACTATCTCTTTTTTTATTTTTATTTTTATTTTTATTTTTACAATTGACGAATAAACTATAACGCCCTCTATCTAAACTAGATAATTATACACAAAAACTAGCCTAATTAAGTTGGTAGATATTACTGTTAGAAAATATTCTTTCATGTAAAACATCTCTCAAAATCTAGGAAACATTCATGTTGGATCACTAAGTGAACGTTTGGTTCATGCATTCAGAATCATGATTCAGAACTATTCTTGATTTATGTGTGTTTTTTGTCAGAGAAAATACTGTAGCGAACCACGAACCATGATTCAAATCATGGCACGAATACACTAACCAAACATCTCTTAAGAATCAATATATTAATAAGCGAAAACGTACCTGAATCTATGATAATAAATTACTCTCTAGAGCTGTGCGGTTTGCCTTCCAGATCAACACGTTTTCCTAGAATCATTTAGCTTTCTCTCTGCTCTCTCTCTGATGATGGGATGTCAGAAAGAATAAAATGTTACATGTGATCTGGGGACCATAACTACTATATATAGATAACTTTCATGTTATCTTTTAGTATTTCTATTTTAGCCCATCATAAAAATATAAATTGCTCTTAAGTCTCTACACATTAAAGACCCACACCTTATTAGATATATTAAAGCCCATATTACTCAAACCTTAGCTGATCACTTTTAAATAGGTTTAAGCTTATATGACAATCTGCAACACATAATTATTCACATATAATTAAGGATCCAACAATCTCCCACTTAGGCTATATGTGTAACCTTATAATTAAACATTGTAAAAATAACCGTATGAGCTCAACTTTGCTTTCATTATCAAAATGTATCTATAACCAATCCAGTCCATTAATCATACCAACATAGGATCAAAGCTGCTTTCGGTACATCTGATGTAACTCGACCCATCAATGGTCACATATGCCGATATAACTGACTGACATGGATGATGATGTGGATGTGTAGCATGGAAATTCATGCAATGTGATCTTAACATGCCTATTTCCAACTAGTCCACCCTTAAACCTCAGTGATATCAAATCATACCATACTCAGAGTGTAATTGAAATAACTTAAAATGTGTCTATATTATAAAAGCATATAAAATTATAAACTCCAACTAAACCTGAATATCCTCAAATGACATGACATCCATACGAGCAGTGTGCTCCTGACACACTTTGGGTGGTAATCGCTTAGTAAGCGGATCCGCAACCATGAAGTTAATACCGATGTGCTCTAGACATATGCTCGCTCTGAATTATTTCTTTAATAACTAAGAACTTAATGTCTATATGATTTGACTTCGTCGAGCTCATGTTGTTGTTGGAATACAGAACTGCTGACTTATTGTCATAAAATAACTTGAGTGGTCTTTCAATACTGTCCACTATGCGCAGCCTCGTGACAAAACTCCGCTGCCATATTTTGTGATTGGACGCCTCATAACACGTTATGAACTTTGCTGTCATGGTAGAAGAGGCTATAAGAGATTGTTTTCTCTTTCAGACGAAAACACCCCCAGCTAGCAGGTAGATATAGCCCGAGGTAGATTTCATACTATCTTGACATCCTACAAAATTGGAGTCAATATACCCAACAATCTCAAGCTGATATGACCTCCGATACGTGAGCATGTAGTCTTTTGTTCTTTGTAAGTACCACAAGACCTATTTGGTTGCTTTCCAATGGTCTACTCCTGAATTGCTTAAATTATCTGCCTAACATCCCAACAACGTATGCAATATCCGAACGCGTGCAAATCTGAGCATACATTAGACTTCCTACTGCTGACGCATAAGGAATCTTATGCATTTCCTTTTCCTCAAAATCATTTTTAGGGCATTGATTGAGATTAAACTTTCCCTTTGCCACAGGGGTATCACCTGGTTTGCAATCTTGCATGCCATATCTCTTGAGAACCTTTTCGATATAGCTCTTTTGTGATAATCCAAGAATACCCGAGAGCGATCCTGGTGTATCTTTACACCTAATACAAAATAGGCGTCACCAAGATCTTTCATCTCAAAATTCTTAGCTAAAAATCTCTTGGTTTTGTGCAATAAGCCTATATCGTTGCTGGCAAGTAAAATGTCATCGACATATAAAATCAGAAAAATATACTTGCTCTCACAGAACTTATGGTATATGCAGTCATAAACCAAATTCATCTCAAAACCGAACGAGATGATCACTTGATGAAACTTGAAATTCCATTGTCGAGATGCTTGTTTGAGCCCATAGATGGATTTCTTAAGTTTACAAACCATATTCTTTGGGTCCACATTTGAGAGTTAGAACTCTTTATGACTTGACGAAAATTGATTGGATCATCTTCCATCACTCTAATATCAACCTCATGTTCTTGGAGAAATACAATGTAGTCTTCTGGCACTGCACTTCTCCTTTCTCTAGTGGATCTCCTTAATGGCATAAGTTCTTGAGGTGGTAGAGTTTATTCTTCTGGATAATTTCTTGAATGAGAGCTTCTCAGACATTATCTTGATCTGTTGCGTCTTGAACAAAGTCAAGAATGGAATCCTGATCAATTCTAAAAGCATCTATGGGAATTTTAACATATTCCTCTTCAAAGACAAAGTCCCTAACTGTATCTCCCTCCGCAAACTCGACATTATCAAAGAACCGGGCATTTCTTGACTCAAAAATTGACTTAGTCGTGGGATCATAAAACTTGTACCCTCTGGATCTTTCAGAGTATCTAATAAAATAGCAACTTATAGTTCTTGAGTCCAGTTTCTTTTCATATAAAATAGCAACTTATAGTTCTTGAGTCCAGTTTCTTTTCATTAGGCCTATAAGGCCTTGCCTCAGATGGATATTCCTAAATGTGTAAGTGCTTTAAACTAGGCTTCTTGGCCGTCTAAAGTTCATAAGGGATTTTGGCAATCACTTTAGTTGGAATCTTGTTAAGGATATATGCTGCAGTCTTAAGCGCTTCTCCCCAGAGTGATTCTGATAAGGTAGAATGACAAATCATACTTCTCACCATGCCTTTAAGCGTCCTGTTTCGTCTTTCAGCAACACCATTCATAGTAGGCAAACCCCGCATAGTGTACTGTGAAAGGATACTGCATTCCTCTAGGAACTTAGCAAAGGGTTCTAAACGTTGTTCACCTGAACTAACGTTGTTCACCTGAACTATCATATCTACCATAGTACTCACCACCACAGTCATATTTGACGGTTTCGATCCTTTTACTGAGTTGGTTCTCAACTTCAGCCTTATAATTTTTTAACACATCCAATGATTGTGACTTTTCATGAATGAGATATATATAGCCATATCTAGAATAATCGTCTATGAACGTTATAAAATATTGTCGACCATTCTAAGCAACTGTAGGGAATGGCCCGTAAATGTCTGTATGTATAAGTTTTAAGATGTCAAAAGTCCTGTTAGCTTCAAATCTCCTTTTATTGGTTTGTATCCCCTTTATACAGTTAACACAAACATCAAAATCTGTGAAATCTAAGGGGTCTAGAATTTTATCTGACACAAATCTCTCTATTTTTCGTATGGAGATATGACCTAATCTCTTGTGTCATAACGCAACCGAATTCTCACTCGTCATTTTTCTCTTTATACCTCATGTACTTAATTGTAGGTATTCATTAAATGAAGCAATTGTATCAATTAAATAAAGATTATCATAACCTGACAAAGAACCGAAACCAACCAATTTTGAATCATGAAACAAACTAAATTTTTCATTCCCAAATGAACAAGAATAACCAAATTTGTCCAAAGCAGAAAGAAAAATCAAATTTCGTCTAAAAGATGGTACAATAAATGTCTCATTAAGATCCAAATAAAATCCAGTCTTTAATAATAATCTAAATTTTTCTATCGCCTCAACTTGAACTGTCTTGCCATCGCCCACGTAGATATATCTTTCACCATCAAAACAAACCAAATTAAGAAGCATACCTTTCTTAGCACGCCATGCGTGATAGTTGGTGCAATGCTTCTTTTTATGCTATTCAGCTCCACAAAAGAAACATCCAGTGCCTTCCGGTTGATCTGGTTTCTTATGTTGTTTCTTTTGAGGTGCCGTATCTGCAGCTTCCTTCTTCCATTTCTTTCCCTTGTCCTTGTCCTTAGAGGTTGAGGCCAGGTTAGCACTCTCTGCCTTATCTTGCTTTAGCCTTTCCTCTTCTTGAACACAGTATGAGATGAGCTCATTCAGAGACCAAGTCTCTTTCTGACAGTTGTAGCTCACCTTAAACTGACTAAACTGTATCGGAAGGGATATCAGAACCAGATGCACTAGTAAGTCCTCGGAGAGTTCTAGCTTAAGTGCTTTCAACTTTGAAGTAAGATGAGACATCTCTATGATGTACTCCCTAATATTATCTTTGCCCTTATACCTCACTGAAATTAGGCTTGTCAAGAGTGTACCTATTTTAGCCTTTTCATTCTTGGCAAACCTCTTTTTAATGTCTGGAAGGAACTCCTTAGTCATAGTAATCTTTCAAACATTGTGCCCCTAAGTGCTTCTGGAATGGCCTTCTTCACGAACATCGTACACATGCCATTTGATTTCTCCCACCTTTCTACATATCTCTTTCTTCAGAGGTACTCTTATTCGTAAGCGGTGCAGGAGAATCGACCCTTAACGTAAGATCGAGATCAATGACTTCGAGAACTATCAGAAGGTTCTCTTGATATTTCTTGAAGTTTGTGCCATTTAGCATAGGAATAGAGTTTATGTTGGCAGTAATATTAGCAGGAGTGTTTGTAGCTAAATCCAGAGAACAACAAACAAACAAAACAAGCTTACATAAGTCTCAAAATAAAAATAGCAATAAAATTCAAATAAAGGTAAACTCTATCTCAAGATACCGGGCACTCCATTAATATTTTGTCTTTAAACAAAAAATATTAACTTGTAAGAGATATCTTAACGTAGTAATCAAACACTGATAATAAGAACATGTCGAACAATAAATCTTCCTTTAGGCTGATTTATTGTTCACATATGAAACTGAATAATCATCATGTGTTATTAGCACAGGTGCTCATGCAATTCTGTTAAATATTGACCTTCCTTTAGGCCGGTCAATATTCACATAAGTTACATGCACACAACTGTTTATATTCTAAAACAAATTAATTTTCACAAGAGAGGTCACTTTGACCTAACTCGGATCCTGAACAAGCCCATCTAAATTTCCTGAGTCACGGGCCCAGTTGGGCCCGTGTCATCCCAAAGGCCCAAAGGCCTTATTTACCCCTTTTTTGGCCCACGGCCACTTCTTCAGAATTGGGCTCGTGGTTTTTTTCTTGTAGCTCTGGGCCGAAGCCCAGAGTCTGTAATCCTTCAGCTCACGGCCACCGACAGGCGGCTGCCCACGGCTCTTAGTCGCCAGTGCGGCCCTCAGGCCGCGCTGGTTTTTCCGTAGCGCCGGTGGCGGTAGAGGCTGCCGCTGGCCACATATTTGAATTTTTTTTTATTTGGTCGCCGCACTTCTTATGCAGCTGCGGCCAACAACCGCGGCCATGTCCAGATTTCACTATGCCAGCGGCAAAAAATTGCCACCGTTCAAAACCTCCCTTCTTTTTTAAACAGAAAATAAAATATGGAATACATCCACACAAAAAAAAATCATCTAAACTTTGTTCTCAATGATTCAACATGAAGAGGCTCTGATACCACTTGTTAAAAAATATTATTTGATGTAAAACATCTCTCAAAATCCAGGAAACATTCATGTTAGATTACCAAGAATCAATAGATTAATAAGCGGAAGTGTACCTGAATCCATGACAATAAATTACTTTTTAGAGTCGTGCGGTTTGTCTTCCAGATCAACATGTTTTCCTAGAGAATCCTTTAGCTTTCTCTCTGCTCTCTCTCTGATGATGGGATGTCAGAAAGAATATAATGTTACGTGTGATCTGGCGACCATAACCACTAGTATATATAGATAACTTCCCTGTTATCTTTTGATATTTCTATTTTAGTCCATCATAAAAATAGAAATTACCCTTAAGTCTCTACACATTAAAAGCTCACACTCTATTAGATACATTAAAGCCCAAATTACCCAAACCTTAGCAAATCACCTTTAAATAGGTTGCAACACATAATTATTTACATATAAGTCCAATGTTGAATTAAGGATCCAACAATTATTTCTGATAAAAAATGTTGAAAATTTTCAACTATTCGTATGTCATAGCATTATATAAAAGTATTACAAAAACGTAAAGCCCATCAGCATTTTCCAAAATATGACAATCTTCATTAGCAGCATATGAACATCCTATCAGCCAGCAATAACTCAAGCAGCTCTTACTCTTGAATATCAACATCTGCATCACAAGAAACTTAAATGACCTATAACTCAATAAGTAGAATCTATTAGCCGTACTCATAAATATGAAGGTGGTTATGCAGAAAATCCTCATACATTCTATCATACCCATTTTTTCTCTTTATAAACCGTCCTTTGGCCCCAGTCAAGTGTAAAACTTAGCTTAGTACTTGATAGATCATGAGTTTCATCGAACCTATTCTTTATCAGTTGATGTGGCTATATTTCCTCAAAAACCTCATGCTTCAAGTAGTGTCGCTGCAATCATTTGAGTCCGCCGGTCCCTCCTGTGTTCCTTGCCTAGCCAAGTATCGAACCATGTTTAATTAACACTTCATTTTTAAATGAAAAATAAGGATAAAATAACCTTACTCTTGAAACATGCTCATGACAGAAATACTTGTGAGTTACTCACTATTGTTTCTTTTGAAGTTTTGAAAAACAAGATTCTACTTACCTTGTTTCAACTTAGTGAAGAGTAGACCGACCTTTAGTTAGCTTGAGGTGCCTTAGGAGCTACCAAGCTTTATCATAAATATTATTGTTATCAAACTGACAAATAAGATCCCCTCAAAAAAAAAAATGACATACAAAATCAGATGGAATTATTACTTTACCATTTTTTTGAAACCTGATCAACATCCATGCATTTCTGTCAAATTTAATTTCTGTCTGTACATGTGCATGATTACACATTGCATATAACAGTATATAATCTCGTTGTTAAAGCAATGGATTTAGTGCGCGCGCGCGTGGATAAAAATTAGGTTTGGACTCTGCATATGAGCTTATCTATGATTTTGGTATTTCCTCAATACTTTAATTTACTAACTTAATAACTCCTGATGAATGTATTATAACTCGTTTGAAAATTAAAAAGGTGATGTTGTAAGATAACAAACGGGGCATGTTTATGTCATGTGCATGTTTTAACATGACTCATCTTGTGGTGAGGATGCAACGCTCGATTAAATTAAAGGATAATTCACCACAGTTAAAAGTGTAAGGGCAACTTGTCAATTTAGTCGAAGTTCATTGGTCTAAAACGCTAAAAAAGTACTGTTCACTGATTTAATTGTTGATATATGTTGGGAGCAGAATTCCATTTTTACTATATATAATATTTGGTAACCATGCAGAAACACCATATTGAATGTAATGGACCCTGGAGATCAGCTGGTGAACTGCTAAAAGTGATGAGGTCATCTCTGAGGACTATAAATGCCTAGATATGTTGACTAAAATATTGATTCTGCTGATTTGTGTTTGTTTCCACCTGGTATTTACATGTTCAATGCAGTAACCTCAAAGTTGAACAGCTAACCACACAGGAGCTCATTCATCTTGAAAGAGATCTGCATGTCATATTAGGACAAACAAGAGAAAGAAAGGTCAGATTCCAAAAAGTCCCTGCTCTCGTTTTTTTTTTTTTTTTTAATCAAAAGGGAAAAGGTTGCATAACTATATTTGGAATTTGCTTGAAGAAATTATATTCATATGCAAGAAATAAGACTCTTGGGAAAATATAATAAAATCTTAATTAAGCAACCAGTAGATGTTCTCAACGGTATAGAGCTCGACACTCGAGTGAATTTAGACAAGGTGGTAACCAATCTAATTTTCGGAGAACTGAGAGTAAGAAGCTGAATATTTAAATCGTACAAGAATCACTGGATTATTCTCTAAAAGATTCTACTAATCAAATTCAAACTGAAGATAAGGATAAACACTGCGATTTGCTGAATTAAAGATAACTACTAGTTAAGTATTGTCTCACAATATTTAGTTTATCTCATAGAAGGATATGAATATAAATATCTGGCCACCTAGAAAACCTAATCACGATTTTGAAATCTAAGGCATTCTGGGCATCTTGTGTGCTTCCACTTTACAATGAAACTCCAGTACCATGGTGGACATTGTTGGGTGAAATACTCTAATTTTGTTTTCTTCTTTGCTTTATATATTTTTAATTTATTGCGCATAAGCGAGAGATCGACTTTGGTGAGGACACGTGTAAGTTCATCTTGTTTGGTGATTTTATGATGTCAACTATACATCACAATTTTATCTAACGACAAGTTCACAAACAATAAAATTTGTGTTTGTGTCATAGAAGGATCTGAATATGACCATTTCGCCACCTAGAAACCTTGATCACTATTTTGCATTTTAAGGCATTCTCCGCATTTTATGTGCTTCTACTTTATAATAAAACTCCAGTACCATGGTGGACATATTTGGGTGAAATACTACTCTAAATTTGTTTTCTTCTTTGCTTTCTACATTTTAATTCATTGTTCATATGCGAGAGATCGACTTTGGAAAGGACACAGGTAAGTTCATCTTGTTTGGCGATTTTATACTGTCAACCATACATCAGAACTTTAGCTAAATATAACGACAAGTTCACAAAACAATTAAAATTTGTGCTCATGTTATAGAAGGGTATAAAGTGCTTATTTGGCCACCTAGAAACCCTAATCACTAATTTGCATTTTAATGCATTCTCGGCATTTTGTGTGCTTCTGCTCTGTAATAAAACTCCAGTACCATATGGTGGATGTAGTTGGGTGAAATACTACTCTGAATTTATTTTCTTTGCTTTTCTACATTTTAATTTATTGTTCATATGCAAGAGATCGACTTTGTTGAGGGCACGTGTAAGTGCTTTTTGTTTGACTTTTGTACTGTCAACCATTCACAATTTTAGCTAAATATAACGACAAGTTTAAAAACTTAATTTAATATAGACTCACAGTATAACGTCCACTTTCTTGCATTTAAATTACTTTGCAGACACAACTAATGATGGAGACTATAACAACACTTGCTGAGAAGGTACGAATTTCCAGCTCATTTCCTAGCGTTCATTATACCTTGTGTACTTAATTTGCAAAGACTAAATAACGATCAACAAGGAAAAAGAATCAAACAGCTTTGATACTGACATGGACAAATATATAATTAGTAGTTACTAATTGTATAAGAGAAGCTGTAGAAAGCCTAATACTTGGGACATGGTAATAAAGTGCTGAAATAGAGATTTTTAAGGCTTTTAGCATTTCAATGTAGTTCTATTTCATACTCTCTGACCAACAATACTTTTATTTTATTAATTGTCTTAAGTTGGGGATTTTATATTATATTGTAATACTTTTTCCAATTTAATGGCTTTTTTTTTTTTCATTCTCTTCCTTATGTTTATATTCAACTACAAGTTATTGGTTCGGCCACTGACCTTAAGCTACTGGAAACCAGAGTAATTAATCCCTAATAGTCTCATACATTTTTAGAACTCCACCTAAATTGTGAACAATATTTCTGTCAGGGAAAAAGTATTTGTATTAAAAACGTATCTAGCTAGTGTTTCCTAAGTTGAAAAGTTTTATTAGATAAGGTTGGATTGAGATCACATGTCTATTTATTTCTGTTATCTTTCTTGTTCATCTCATAAGATCATGTCACACTAATTAAAATGTATTAATTATCACGACTCTTTAATTGATGTGCTATAAAATTTTAATTGACATGATATTTTAATTAATATGGCATGATATTATTAGAGGGCCATCAAAAGAGACAAGAATAAGAGAACGCATGAGTTGATTCTTAATTATTGCACGTTATATATAGATGGACTGCATCTATATGTTTAGCAAAACAATGATTATTAGAAAAATAAAAAAGGGATATATTTATAATATAAGGTGAAACACCTGAACCTAGAAATTATCAAGTTTTGGGAATTTGATAGAGGATGAGATTGCCTAGTATATCTAGTTGGAATATAATTTATTTATCCTCGAAAAAAAAAAAAAGGATGAAACACCTGAACATTTGAATTCCGGTTACGCTCTCTCTTCATTTAAATTTTAAAAAGAAAAAAGATCATTGAACCCAAGAAACTCAATTGCAGTAACTTACATCTTGTGCAGGAAAAGCAACTAATAGAAGAGAAGTCTCTCCTAGAAAATCAGGTAAAACAAAATGCGATCAATAGAATAAAAAGAAAAAAAACTTGAGCATGAGATTTCCTTTCTGTGATTTAGTTATGTGTGTGCATAGTATTAATGCATGAGATAAACATATTTTCACAAGTTTTCTTTTTGTCTCTCCTGGAGTAACTTTTAGATCGGGACAATGATGGGTTCCCAAAGCCACCACCGAGGAAAAGAGCTTCAGCTGATTCAATGGTTCGCTTGACATTTGTGGTGTCCCAAGATAATTAGTAGATTAACAAATTTGTTTCGGTTTGTAATTGCTCATAAAAAAGTTTAGATAATTATGATCTGTATGAACACCATCTTATATAACTGCATATAACATAGAACATGAAACAGATTCCTATGTTATAATTACTGAAAATAAAATATATAACAGAATTTGACAAAAGAAATAAACGTTTAAGAAATGAGAATGACTGAAGTTATATTTTTCATTACGGATGAATAAGTATATAGACAATGTACACGTTTGAGAAATAAAGGAGGAGAAATATTCTTTACAGCTCATTACCAACAATACAGTAGCTATTTAAGGACAATATATTTACATTCTAAAAAATTAAAAAAAAATACAACACATTAATAATTGTTTAGGCGTTTCCCTTGATAA